ACTCTCTTAGAAACAGACACATTAAACTCTTAACAAATGAGCAAACTGAACCCAGTAGTATACCACAAGAACATAATCTGCTCAATTCTCAGCTCACAGGCCACCTGTGAGCCCTGGTCCCCTAAGGCAGGCCTCCCTCATCATCCTCTCTACTTGCTGTGCTTTCCTTCATGGCACTAATCACTGACGTGGGAAGCTGGGGTGCAGGGCCCAACATCCAATGCAGGAACAGCAGCGAACCTGATGCTTTCTCTCACACTCATGAAGAATTGGAGTTGCAGACACAGAGAGGGAATAGCAAAGAGTTTACTGAAGGAAAGAACAGCTCTCAGGCAGGGAAGGGTCCCAGAAAGTGGGCTGCCGAAGAGGAACTGAGGTGAGGGTTTCTATCTTGGTCACCAGGGGCTTTGCTTGGATTTGTTCTCAGAAGGTGCTGGTGCATGCAATCCCCTTGCAGTGGGGTTACATGCTAAATGGGCCCAATTATTCTTCTCCTAATTTTGGCACGGATACAAAGGTTAGGAGACTCTTCCTCTAAAAGCTGTGGGCCATAAAAGACCATTATGTTCTTCCTGGAACTGGTGGGACCTGGAGAAAGCCTTAATTGCTCTATTTGCTTCAGGCCGATCAGGAAGTCACTGCAATGAGCTGTTTCTTGTGAGCCAGCAGTTCAGTGAGAGCTGAGCTCTGCTAAACAGCTGTGTCTCCATCTTGAATCTTAGCCATTCTGTGATCCCATTTTGGGCCTATACCCTGACTATATTCTTCAGGTCCCTGTCTCTTACCTCATCACCACCTGCTATTATAAGTTTACTTGATTTTTGTTAGTATTTCTCTCCCCAATACACTGTAAGCTTAATTAGAATAAAAACTTAATTTGTATTCCCCCAACAAGGGCATGAGCATTCACCAGGGAGAAAGAAAAACTTAAAATATAGAAACCTTTGACCCAACAATTCTACTCCTAGGAATCTTTCCTACAGATATATGTTCACATTTCCCCACAGATGGAAGCAACTATCTTTGCTTGTACCATTTGCATTAAAGTAAATACTTAATAAAATGCTTATTTTGTTCAAAATTTGTATAAATTTACAAAGCTGCTTACTTGCGTGTCTACATCCCATCTTTTGGCAATGTCTCCTAAGACTGAAGGGTATGCTTTCTCTGCCTACCTTTTCCTATCACCATCTCAGTCTCTCCAACTAAAATCTGTAACCAATGGGAAGCGCTAATAAAGACCTTTGTTGTTAATCAAGGTATTGTTTCATTATGAAGTAACTACCTGCTTTCTGTCTCCTACATTGACTGAGAAATCTGGATTTCCAAGTAATACAGAAGAAAGGAACAGCCGTTTATTACACAAATGCATGTTCCAAACTCACTGAAGTTAGGTCATTTCTCAGGACACAGCATATGATGAACCTTAAATGTGAATTATCTGCTGACTCTTTAGCCACACAAAGCACAACCTCACCCTATGAGCAATTCAACTTAAGCACATAAGATCATGTAAGATGACACAAGACAATGTTCTGACTATTTCTGTTTTTAACATTTCAAACTATGCCTCCTCTTTTTAAAAGGCCAACTAGCAAATTATTCTAAAATTATTTTTTTAAAGAATTCACTTATTTAGCTTTATTTATTCACGTATTTATTTATTTTAATTTGATCAGAAAGGGACAGAGTGA